TGGGACCAAAGCAGCAGCCTGGAGCCTGTGGCTGGCTGGGGTTATTTTTAGGATTATAGGAAACCTCCATCAAGCCTCTTGGTTTAATTCTGAACCTCACCCTCTCAAATGTAGGAAAGATAGGTCATGGAAACCCAGGGGAGACTTGAGTCTCAGCTTCTGTTCCAATGTAGGAGTTTAACAACAGACACAGAGCACTTGGTACCATGCATGCAGGCATTTGTGTGTGCATGTGGGCAAGTGTGTGTGTGTGTGTGTGTGTGTGTGTTTACGTACACGTGTGCAACAGTGTACTTGTGGAGGTCAGAGGACAACTTAGTGGACTCACTTATCTCCTTCTATAGCAGTTTCAGGATTTAAACTCAGGTCATCAGACTTGTGTAACAAGCCCCTTTACTCAACAAGCCTTCTCACTGGCTCACAACTGCAATTGAAGCGGCACCAAATAAATGTTTTGAGTTGGCCAGAAATGTAATTGCTAAAAGTCGGTGGCATTTACTATATATTAGCCCCTTATTCTTCCCTCTCCTGTCTCATGGCCTGCAAACTATGAGCCAGAAAAGCCTTTCCCTTCCTTCTGTTGCCTTGGTCAGGTATATTGTTACAAGAAGTAACTTATACAATAGTTGTTTAAAGTAAAAGATACAAGGATGGTCAGTAGGCACAGAAAAATATACCCAACATCACTAATCATCAGAACTTTAAAAAGAACAGTAATCTTAAGTGTTGGCAAAAAACGCAGAACAATGACAACTCATGTACATACTGTTGGTGAGAATAGAAAATAATAGCATGCCACTGCTAGAAGACAGAAGTATATATATATATATATATATATATGCACTGCACATCCCAACATCCTCACTCCCTACTCACCCAGAGAATTGGAAACATGTATGCATGCAAGGGCTTCTGTAGGAATGACCACAATAGCATCTCTCCCGATAGTCATGAGATGATGGTCATCTCATGAACAGATAGATTGTGTTATTACACACACACCACAATGGAGTACTACTCAGCACAAACTAAGTGCTACTTAGGGACAAACTAAGAAATTCCATGATGTGAGCAAACCTCAAAGCCATCCTGTCAAATGAAAGAAGACAGACTCAAAATGCTGTCCACAGTCTTATTCTATATACATTCTGGAACCAGGTGGCTAGTTTTCTGGGATTGAAGGAGAAGGGTATACATTGACATTAGGGAGGTTAGGGAAGGATGAAAGTATCTTTGGTGAAACAAATATACAATTGCTAAGATCCATCAAATGTTCACAGAAAGGTGGATTTTAGCATATTTTATCTCTCCATAAGGGTGCTGCAAACTTTTAAACATATACTATCTATGCTCACAAACCGAATGTGTACATCCCATAAAGTTGAAGCACTTTGCCTTCTCTTTTTCCTTTGCTTATCTATGTTTTATGAAATTTCCACCATGTTTATGCAGGGGCTCAACTGTAAAGAAAGAAGCGGCCAACAATAATCGGGTTACTCAAGAAGGAATCTGTTTTGCTTCAACATTGTTTGCTTGTGATGAAGCTGCTGGTCAACTCTTTCTCATCTATCTTTTCTCAGTGGCACTTCTGAGAGGTGAGCTAAGGGAAAGGATGCCAAGTGGTCCAGAACCTAAGAGCAATGCTTTGTCCTTCCAGCCCTTGGCTTGGCTCGCACCTGGATTCAGGATGAATGCACAGTAGGTTAATGATAGGGGGCTCCTGGCTTCCTTTGCCAGTTCCACCTTCCATTCCAACCCGAGTCAGCCATGAACCATTCAGGCCCCTAGAGAAAGTTGGCGGTCCAAGGCTGGCCAGTCTGTGGTTTGTGGACCCTGGTGGGCACCGCCTTCCCTCACATTGGTCAGGTGTGTTCGCATGGTCTTCAGGAAGTCAAGAGCCCATTCATTCATTAAGCCCCACTTGGAGAATGACCACTCTTGTGGCAGGCACATGGTACTGAAGGACATAGTGTCCCTCCAAGAGCCCCTCTGGGTAGAGTTCTGGTAGAGTTCTCAATGTCCACAGGTCTCTGGCTCTCTTCCCCATCACAGGCTCTGTTCATCCCCAAACTTTCCACCCATGACAGGGCAAGTCACCTCAGGAGACCTGACGAGTCACAGATGGATCGTGGCTGCTCCAAGAGAGGCCTTCCTTAATTGTACTTGAGTGCTGTAGTCACAAAAGATGCACTCAGACCCAAGTATTGTGACACAAAGATCTCATGAGGCAGACAAAACTACAACATATAAAATAGCATCATACAAATATCCTGTGAACAGAATACAGTTTTCCCCCACTCAAGCTAAGAAGGAACACAGAAGAAGGAAGCTCAAAACAGCTGGGGTGAGCACAGTAGGAAAGAGATCTCAGCTGTCCTCTGCTAAGTGACAAGTTGAGAAAAGTGTTGGGGTCTCTTTCTTTGGGGTTCACATAGGTACAATTTTTAGGATCTAATTTCATTATCTAACACCCCCCCATGCATAACACATGACTTGTAATAGCTGAACCAGCAACAAGAACACACTGATAGAGAAGCAAGATGTCAGATAGACATACAATGGAATAGTAGTTGGCCACACAAGGAAATTCTGATCCATGTGACTACATGGGTGAACTTTGAAAGGTGTCATATAATATAAAAGTCACAAAGAGAAAAACACTGAGTGGTTTCATTTGTAGGGAACCATGGAAATGTCAAATTCAGAGAGAAAGAATTGTGGCTTCTAGGAGCTGGGCAGAGCAGGGATGGGGAGTTTGTGTCAATGGATACACGATTTCCATTTAGGATGCAGTGCTGGAAAGAGTAGGTGGACAGTTACACCGCAACATGGATACTTAGTGCCACTGATCTGTACACTGGGGAAAATGTACTTTGGGTATATTTTAACATATGTACAAAGAAACAAGCTCCCTGCATGACACCCTGCCTGCTTTCCTATAATATGAAGTTGTGCCTGTCAGCATCTGTAGCAAGTCTGGAGCGTAGGTGTTGTCTCTGCTCTCACTCAGTAACGATGAGAACAATAGAACACACGGAATGCTTGCTACCCGTGTCAAGTGTGTCTGTTGTTTGGGCAGTCATCGACTCTCAAAGCAGCGATTCTGGAGAAAATAAAGCAGAGGGCTTGGTGGACATGATCACCGAGGGGAGGCCATGCTGAGGAGAAACACCCCACAGCAGAGAGCCGACTGCAATTCACACAACTCCCAAAGGCCACAGGGACAGAGCTGACATGGCCCTCAGTCTGGTCTATTTTTAGAGCCTAGAGTCACACATCTTCCCAGTAAACAACCAGCAATTCTCAGGCTACTGTGTCATTCGTGTGGCACGAATACACCAGCAAGAGTGTAGAGTGGTATTAGTAGTGGTAGCAAATGCCTTTAATCCCAGCACTCAGGATGCAGAGGCAGTCAGATGTCTGAGTTTGAGGCTAGAGAAACCTTGTCTTGAAAACAAAAAAAAAAGAACATAGAGTGTCAGCTCAGGCGACCTCACCTTACCCACCCGCCACTCCCAGACTCCCAGACCAGGCAGTGTTATGGGGAAACTTGACAGCCTCCTGAGCTGAGGGTTATAGATATTTGTTTAAAACAGCTCTGGCCAGAAGTCATAGGGCAAACACAATGGAGACATTTCCCTGCTCCAATCTGGATTCATCCCATGGGTGTTCCTTTTTGTCATTAGGCAGGGAGTTTCTAGCTCTCCAAAGATCCTGCTGCCATGCCCACCTTCTCCAGAAGGCAGGATGTGATGCAAGCTCTTCAAAGGCAAGCCTGTTGGAATGCTACTGTCTGTGGCCCTATGACCCTGGCCCTATTGGGCCTCAGTCACTTTGTGAAGTGGCAAGAACATTTAATATGTCAGATGACAGTGTCCAGAGACATGCCGGGACATGTCAACTATGAAGCAGTTTCTTCTGCCCCTGTGGCCACTGCTTATGATGGCCTTGAGAACAGTAAGTGGCCAATCAGTTTGTGTTAGGACACAGTAAGAGTTCAGAGCCCTGGATACTGGAAATGTTTCCTGTTTTTATCCCTTACATTTGTAGCAAATGTAGTAATGGAGGTGAGGAAAAGTGTCCAGTTAAGTGCAGAAGTCATCAGAGGCAGCGCATTTCCTCAGCTCCTGGGGAGAAGTGTCACTCTGTCAAGGTGACTGCATATATACTGTGTGAGAGCTGGGGTGCATGCAGGTTTTCCTGGTCTCCTTTGCTTTTAGGGTTCATGAGTCACATACTGTGGAAGGATCTGTATTTGTCTTTTGGGGGCCCTGCCCCGACTGACCAACTTCTTCCCATTAGGCAAGGAAGAGAGGCCAGGAAAAAAAAGTATCAGGCTCACAGGCACAGTAAGATGTTTTCAGAGGGGAGAGTAGGCATTGTGCTGTCTTCTTCTCCACATTGCCTGCCACCCATGGGCTGTTGGTCCTACTGGACTCTCTGCCTGGCTCTGGGTGGGGGAGGTAGGGGAGGGGCGCCTCCCTTAGGCTCATCCCAGAGTGTCCTGCAATTTAAACAGACTCCCTAAAGCCCTTCTTGCAGCTGCCCAGTTGTGACATCCTGGCGTGGGAATAAACGTGGACACTTCTTAGAATAAAACAAACACACCGGAGCTGGCAGGAGGAAAGCATGGATTTCTCCCAGAAAGGGCCAAGGGGAGCTGTTTCAACAATATAACATGGATGACTCAATCATGGGACTCTGAAAGCACAGAGGTCACCTCTTCCCAACTACCTAGACAAAGTGACATATTTTCCTGAGTTCCATCCCAGAAGGCCCCGGGGGGGGGGGGGGAAGACTACTGGAAATGTGGATAACATAAAGACACACTGGAGTCTGGGTCAAGTGAGATTTCCAATGGAGAGGCCTTGTCATTTCTCCCCTGGCCTCAGTGCTTCTGAGGAAAAGGGTTCTGAGATGTTGACGAGACAGACTCATCCAGATATGGCTCCAGAGCAGAGGAAGTTTGGGAGATTGGGGGCTCCCTCTTATAGCGCTACCCAGTCTCGTTTTCTGTTGTTGTTTATTTTTTATTTTTGTTTTTGAATCAAGGATGCATCTTGCTACCCTCTTCTAATACTGCTCTTGCAACCAGGCATCACGGTTCAGGGTCACGGCCATAGGCCCACTGGATCTGCCCTCTTTGGACCACCTCAGATGTTCCAGGCTGGGATGGTGAGGGGCACATGGTTGCAGCCAGGTCCTTCCTGAGGCCCATCCTGGTTGGCCACACGCCCATTGCGCAACGGCAGGCGGCCAGGTCCTGGGGCCCCACTGCTGGGGCCAGACTCAGATGGCAAGCCTGAGTCGCTGGGCTGCACGTCCACCACCACCCGCCTGCGAAGGAAGCGCCCGGGCCTCTCGGAGTAGGCTTGTTTGTGGGCACCCCAGGGTGGCCGGCAGAGCTGTGCACGGAAGGCAGCCTGGAAGCCGCGACGGAAATTCTCATTGAAGTATCCGTAGATGATGGGGTTGGCACTACTGTGGAAGAAAGCCAGCCAATGGGCCAGGGGGAAGGCGTAGACCGACAGCAGGTGCAGCTGCGGCTCGCTCAGCTGCCCGTAGTCGATGAGCAGCAGCAGTGCCCAGAGCGGCAGCCAGGACAACGTGAAGAAGAGCGCTACCATGACCAGCATGTGCACCACGCGGGCCCTGCGGCGCGTTGCGCGGCCACCCTCAGCCACCGTCTCCTCCGTGTCGCGCGCTGGACCCGGGGCCTGGCACAGCTTGCGCGCGATGCGAGCGTACATGACGACGATGAGCGCCAGTGGCGCCAGGTAGATGTGCGCAAAGAGCACTGCGGTGTAGACCTTACGCATACCCTTCTCCGGCCAAGCCTCCCAGCATGAGTAGAGCGGGTAGGAGCGGTTGCGAGCGTCCAGCATGAAGTGATGTTCCTCGCGCGTGACGGTCAGAGTGACCGCCGAGGGACACATGATGAGCAGCGCCAGCGCCCAGATCACTGCGATAGTGAGCAACGCCTTCCGGAGAGTGAGCTTCTCGCGGAAAGGGTGAACGATGCAGCGGAACCTGCAGTCCCGGGGGCAGGAGGAGAGGCAGAGGGGTTTGGAAGAGTTCCTGGAGGCCTAGCGGGCCAGAGCTGACCTGGTCAGGGGCTGCTGGCAGAGGACACCTGACTTTCATCACCATACTTAAGGTAGCATCTCGTGCTGCTGGAAGATACCTGACATTCATTACTACACTTAAGGCAGCATCCGGTGACAGCTCAGGCACTAATCAACTTAATTTACAAGTAAATTGGTTTGTCATTTGCAAGGATGCAACTCACTCAGCTAAATCGTTCTGGAGCCAAGGCTGGATTTAAAGTAGGTGAGGAGGATACAGCTTCCCACTAGAGGCTTAAATCTTTATTTCGGGAAGGGTTAGCTGGTAGCAGGCATCCCGGCCAGTCTGTCCTGAATGAACATTCTGTGCTTGGGAAGCCTGACTAGGTAAATACACAAATGCTTTTTAAAAAACATTTAGTGTTCAGCTCTCCCTCTCCTCTCCCTTTTCTCTTCCCACACAGAAGAAAACTTACACTCTGTGGTCCTAGGTCCTAGGTCTCCTTCTACCATGTGGTCCAAGGGATTGAACTCAGGTCAACAGGCTTGGTGGAACCACCTTTACGCATTAAACCACTTTATTAGCGCAATGTAACAATGTAACTAACAAATGCAACAAATGTAATTTCTAGCTGTTTATATATTCCCCTGAAAACCCTGGAAGCTGGATAGGTCAGTGGTAGGCCATCCCTGGGTCATTTTAATCATTATACTGAAGTGAAAAAAACATTTGCTAAATCCTGACCAGATCTTAGGCTAAAACTGAGGTCAGCCCAGCCCTCAGGCACTGCCAGTACTTAGAGTACTTTCAGTAACCTTCATTGTTCTGCTTTTGAAACAGCAAGGCTTTCTACTCCTGGATCAAACAAAAATACCATGGTGACACAACTGTGCCCTGCTCTTGTTAAAAGTTCATAACCTAAACTGGGCGTTGGTGGTGCACACCTTGAGTCCCAGCACTCTGTAGACAAAGACAGGTGGATCTCTATGAGTTCGAGGCCAGCCTGGTCTACAGAACAACTTCCAGGACAGCCTCCAAAGCAATACAAAGAAACCCTGTCTCAGAAAACAAAACAAAACAAACAAACAAACAAACAAAACCCTTCAGATTCATAAGGTGCTTTCTGATCCTGGTCTCTTTTTGGGTGACAACAGTCACAAGTGTGTAGTATGACTTTCCTTGTTAGACCCACTCAACAATAACTCTAGTTAAACCCTTGTTTGTTTATTTATCATTTTTGAGACAGGGTTTCTAGCCTGCACTGGCCTTAAACTCCCTAAGTTGGAGAGGGTGGCCTTGAATTGCTAACCCTTCAGTCCTGCTTTCACCTTGATTTACTTGAGGAAAAGCTCTCCCATAGTGTGAAGCAACTGGCACAAGGTCTCACAGCCATCAAGTAGATGGTTTACAAAGGACCACCTTGGAACTCCAATTTTGTCCAATCCCCTGTGTCATTTAGACCAGTAGCTATAAAACCCTTACTTTGTATAGACTCTCCTGAAATATAAAAGAAAAAAGAAAACCCTCTCCACTCTAATTGATCTGGAAGGAGTTATCGGGGTTTTAGCATCTTCTTTTCTACATAGGCTGGGTTGGCAGCTGCTGGCAGAGGAGAAGGAGGTGGAAGGTTCAAAGGCTGTCGCTCAACTGCATGCACTTGAAAGTGGGTGTCAAACAGGTTTATCAATACAGGAATGGATGACTAGAAGAACCAGTTGTTCAAAGGCCTTTCAGGACCGTGGCTTCCTTATCTTAAAAATGGGGCCCATAACCTGGCAATGGTGGCACATGCCTTCAATCCCAGCACTCAGGGGGCAGAGGAAGGCAGATCTCTGAGCCAACCTGGTCTACAAAGTGAGTTCCAGGACAAGACAGGGCTACACAGAGAAACCCTGTCTCTAAAAACCACACACACACACACACACACACACACACACACACACACACACACACCAAAAACAAAAAGGGGATCTATAATCAACCTCCCTCTGTGGGGTGATGAGGATGAACTGAGACTAAAGCAAAACCAAAACCAAAAACTACTTGGACAGCAGAGGCAGGAGGATCAGAAGTTCAAAGCCATTCTTGACTAGAGAGTTCAAGGTCAGCCTGGGCTACTTGACAGACAACCTACCTCAAAACCAACAAACAAAAAACACAGCAAGAAAAAGGAGGATTGCCTACTTCTTATAATACCTCCCCTCACCTATCTATGCCTGAAAATAGACACCCCTGCTGGAGACTATGGGGTCAGGCTCAATTGTTTGTGTGGAAAGGAAGAAAGGGGTGGGCTCTCTTACAAGTCCACGTGGCTCTTTAGGGACAGAACTTGCTTACAACACAGGTGTGGCACTGTCTGCTGCCCAGAGGCACCTTCTTTCATCCTGGCCTCCTACCAAAATGAAAGCCCTTATCACTTTTCCCATAGCCTAGTCAAGCCTCCCAGCATCAGACACTGGAGAACTTTCCAGAGAACACATGACTCCAGAAGCCTGTAGTTCTGTTATGAACTCAGTGGCAATCACTAGGTGGAAGAAACTGCTGGAATCACTGGGGAAGGCTTTCTGGAGAGGGTGGAGCTTGATAAGCTGTAAGGATGCCTGGGAGGGGTTTTACATTCTCCTATCATTCACCAAAACAAACAACAACAAAAACAACAAAACAAAGGTTGAGGGCTCAAGGGAAGGCTCAGCCATTAAAAACTAAGACTCACAACTAAAACGGTAAGAAAAAAAAAAGTTAGGAGAGAAGACAGCTCATGTAGCCCAATTATTTGGTGGCTTTGTAGAGAAGGGGACCTAGTTCTATCCTGCCAGCTGCCTACATGGCATGGGTAGGGATTTGAGACTGGGCATGTAGGGTCCTTACCTAGCATGCACAAAGCTTTGGGCTTAATCCCAGCAACAAATAAAATGGGACATGATGGCATTTGCCTATAATCTAGGATCAGGCAGGTAGAAGAAGTTTAGGGTCATCCTTGACTTCATGTGAGTTCAAGGCTAGCCTAACAGAACCAACAAAAACAGAGTTTGATGGGAACAGAAGTAGGAAATGGATGGGAACATGAGATTCTAGAAGGGGCAGAGCTGAAAAACACTGGTGTTGGAGAGAGAAACCAAGAGAAGGATGTGAGTTGTGGGATATTTGTACACTGTGTGAAGGTGTATTGCTATGATTGGTATAATAAAAAGCTGAATGGCCAATAGCTAGGCAGGAGGTATAGGTGGGATTTTTGGGGAGAGAAAGGAAGAGGAGGAGGGAGGAATCTAGGCATGTAGGAGGAGATGCCAGAAGACATGGATAGGAAACAGGAGGTGCAAGAAGGAAGAGGTAAAGCCACATGATAGAAAGTGGATTAATATAAATGGGTTCATTTAAGTTATAAATGCTAGTTAGGAACAAGCCTAAGCTATAGGTCAAGCTTTCATAATAATAAGAAGTCTCCGTGTCATTATTTGGGAGCTGACTGGTGGGACAGAAAAGGACTCATTTCAGTAGGTATGTGGGAAAAAATCACATTAGTGGCTGGTGTCTGGACTGTGGGCTAAGAACTGTCCATGAACATTTCAAACAAAGTTGTTTGAAGACTCCAAACCATTTTCCCAATACAGTTCCTCCCAAGGTAGCTGAATGAGTGGCTAACACCACACAGTGGGACAGTGCTGAGGACAAAGGCCATCTCCAGCTGTTCTTCCTACCTCCTAGTCCCTGTCAGGGAAGGCCTTAGTGAGGAGCAGGAGGAGGGCCACACTGTACATTATGAGAAGGAAAGATTAAGCACTGGTCCAGGGGTCCAACCCTGCCACATATACAGAACCATGCTTAGGAGGAGGGCCACACTGTACATTATGAGAAGGAAAGCTTAAGCACTGGTCCAGGGGTCCAACCCTGCCACATATACAGAACCATGCTTAGTCTAGACTCTGTTGGAGTCTGAGGCTGAGTGACTGTAACTGATAGACATGTAGATACAGTAAGTCCAGGATTTCCAGGAACCAGCAAATAGGAGATGAGATAAAGGAACAAAAAGAAAGCCTTCTTTTCCAGCTATATTAAGCCCATCCACAGACAGGCTCCCAGGGCTCAAACAAAGGAGAGGTAGGACTACCTTGAGATCCTAGCAGGCTTTGTTGGGAGTGACCTCTGCCTTCCAGAAGGAGTGGGAGTGGGACTCTCAGCAGTTCTCCATGGCCTTCCAGCTAGCCCAGTATCAAATGTAAAATGAGCTCTGTCAGTGCCAGCCCTAAGCTACCCAGGGAAATTTCTCACCTTTCCACAGCGATGGCCACCAGCGTGAAAACAGATGCAGACACAGACATACCCTGCACCAAGCCGCTCATCTTGCATGTGGCATTGTCAAAAGGCCAACCTGTAATGACAGAGGCCCCCCACAGGGTGAAAGATGCTTATCCAACAAAATGCAGGTCAGTAGGTAGGTAAGCCAAGCCCCACTCCATCCCCCAAATATGGCTTATTTCTCCTAGTGCTGAAGGATCACTGGGTCTCTATGACCATAACTGAGGAGCCAACCATTGCATACCAATTCAGACACTGCTTTTAGGAAGATGGCTTTTATGTTGGCAATTGATTGTCTTTATGACCTTTGGTCCATCTAGCCCCCACTGGGTCCTATTATCCAGCCCAGGAGGGAAGCCATTCTTTCCTCATATTAGCCCTTCTATTATTATCCTATTATTATTAGCATATATCCACAGTCTATATATTATTATCACACATATGTATACTAAAGTTGACCAAACAAATAAGTAAACATGATATAATAAACACAGATTTTTTTTTCACTAAGAACAAAGCTACAAATAAAGAATTTATTGTTAAAATAAATTTTCTGATGTTGGATTGAAATATGAAGTACTAGCATGAATCATAGTTCCTGAAATGCAGGCAAATGGCTAGAAGATGTAGCTGGCTCTGATGGTGCATGCCTTTAATCCTAGCACTCAGGAGATAGAGTTAGAGATTTCTGTGAGTTCCAGCCAGCCTGGTCTACATAGTGAGTTCTAGGCTAGCCAGGCCTATATGGTGAGACCCTGACTCAAAAAAAAAAAAAAAAAAAAAAAAAAAGGCATGTGGCAATATGCATGCATTTAACAGCTCTGTCCCTTCTGAGCATCTAGAATCAAGACACCCCAATATCCTTAATCACACCTGAAAGTCAGATCTTTGTATATATTATCTTCCTTGGTCTTGGGAGATGGCTCAGCAGCTAAGATAACTTGCTGCTCTTATAGAGGACTCTGGTTCAGTTCCCAGGACCCATATAATGGCTCACAAACATCCTTAACTCTCTAGTTCCAAGAAATATAATGTCCTCTTCTGACTTCTGTGGGCACACGTGGCACACATGTACATATGCAAGCAAAACACTCATGTGCATAAAATAAGAATAAATATACTCCAATAAAATGAAACAAGGCTTTTTGAAGAACTAGTTATTTCCAGGCCAGTGCAAGGAAAACATGAGGTGACCCAGAACATTCTGTAGAGCTAGGAAGTAAGGAAATGCTCTAAACACCATGGTAGTAGATGAGCTCCCAATAGCCAGACCCAGAGCAGTTTAAGCAATGAAGTAAACAACAGTGTCAGATTAAAAGCCATGAAGCAGAGATCCAATTAGTTAAGTACAGAGAATAAAAATGTCATTAATAGAGACCAGGATGGGAAGCACTGTTGTGGGCAGCAACTGCCAAATCACTATTAAGTTAGTGCAAAAATATAATGAGCCATGACATTTGCACAGTCTCAGAGGCTCTCCCTGTAGGGTACTTCATAATTAAAAAGCGGAAGTGGTTGCTCTACAGCTGAGAGACAGCCATTACAAAGGAGTCAGCGAGCAGCAGGACACTCATGTGTGCCTTCCCCACATGGCCATGCTGCTCTCACCTGATGGCTACAAATGGAATCTAATCAAGGTATAGGAAGCAGGGGAAGCATCGAGAGCTTGGACCTATGGAGCACTGGCAAAGCCACTACCTGTGTGAGCCAGGTTAAGAGGAATGGCAAAGCAGGGGTCAGGAAACCTGGGGGCAATGTTATCTTGGTTGTTGACAGTAAGGGTGCTTTCAAAAGAGAGTGTGAGTCTGATTGGGTAAGGTGAGGAAATCTACCACGCAAAGCATGCATGAGAGCTGGGGCATGGACCTGTAATGACAACACTCAGGAGGTGGAGAAGAACCACCCTAGACCACACCTAGACATTCAAGTTCAGCTCAGGCTATTCAAGATCTTTCCTCAAAAGCAAGAAAAAAAGAACTGGCAATATTGCTCAGTGGCTAAGAGTGCTTGCCACCAAGCCTGACAGCCTGAGTTCGATTCCCAGGACCCACACAGTGGGAGAATCTACACCATCCTCCAAAAGTTGCCTGGCAGTGGCCACTTCAGAGGAACTGCAATTGGCAATGGAGCTTATGCAGTATGACCCACCAGGTAGCACAGCTCCCATAAGTGCACCCCACAGAGGCAAAGCCACAGGGGTTTGTCTCCAGAATGCTTTTGCTGTGTCTGCTACTGTTCATGTATTTACTGTATTTGGCATAAGGTAATGACAGAGTGGGAAAATGCCACTGTATCTAGAAATCCCACTCCTCACCAGGTAATTTACATGTAGATCGTAATAAAGGTGATTTTTATAGAGCAATGACACTTAGAGATGAGAACCTTGCCGAGAATGGAGATTGAAAACAAGGAAGTTGTATGCATTATAGAAAAGCCCATAGATTCTGCCTGTGGCAAAACAGGCTGATGACAAAAAGAAAGCAATTATGTTCCTGCCCCCAAAGTCAGGTCTGAGCTCCTTGGTCCTGTAGCTTACAGGATTCATCACAGGTTTTGGTGTGCACCTTGAAAGAACTAAGTTGTGAAAGGAAATTAAATGATCCTATTGTGTGTAAAGAAAAAGGAAAAATAGATGTTAGCTAGACCACTTGAATAAAGTTTTGTAGAATAAGGGTAAAATTTTGCTACACTAGGTTGGAGAGATGGTTTAGCATTTAAGAGCAGACTGCTCTTCCAGAGGACCCAGGTTCAATTCCCAGCACCTACATGGTAGCTCACAAGTGTTCATAACTACTGTTCCAGGGTATCTTATACACTCACACAGACATACATGCAGACAAAATAACAGTGTACATAAAATACAAATAAATAAATTATTAAAAATAAAAAGAATTTGCTACACTTAAACCTCAATGCCTGCCAGTACAAAGAAACTGGCTGAAATATACTTGACTTGCTTAGTACTTTGTTAATCAGTAATAAAAGAATCATTGCTTTGGGGTGAAGATGATATTGTGGGAAAAACAATTTTTATGTTTTTGGTTTTGGTTTTTTGTTTTTCTCAAGACAGAGTTTCTCTTTAGCCCTGGCTGTACTGGAACTCACTTTGTAGACCAGGCTGTCCTTGAACTCACTGAGATCTGCCTGCCTCTGCCTCCCAAGTGCTAGGACTAAAGGCATGTGCCACCCCTGCCCAGCTCAAGATGTCTTTTGTTTGTTTTTTTCCGAGGCAGGGTTTCTCTGTGTAACTAATCTGGCTGTCCTGGATCTCACTCTGTAGACCAGGGTGACCTCAAATTCACAGAGCTCCACCTGCCTCTGTTTCCCAAGTGTTGGGATTAAAGGTGTGCACCACCACACCAGGTTTCAAGACGTCTTTTTTATGTCTGCATTTGTGAGACATAAAATGGTCTTCCCTTTTGGAGTCATTGTCTATATAGTGGTGGCCAAAGCTCAGAAAGCAGAGTTGGGAGAACACACATGCCAGACCAGCCTGATCACATAGCTAGCTAGCTAGCTAGAACTACAGGGTTGAGATCTGACACCCCAGCCCCCCAAAAGACTGGGATGGTCTGCCAGTGTGGTGGTTTGAGTAAGAATGCACCCCCATAAGTTCATATATTTAAATGCTTGGTCACCAGGGTGTGGAACCCTTTGAAAGGATAAGAAAGATTAGTAAATGTGGCCATGTTGGAGGAAGTGTGTCACTGGTATGGGCTTTGAAGTTTTAAAAAGCCCATGCCAGGCTCAGTTCTCTTCTATCTGCCTATGGATCAGGATGTGGCTCTTAGCTATTTCTCCAGCACCATGTGTGTTGACATGTTCCCTGCCACGATGATAATGGACTAAACCTCTGAAACTGTAAGCCAGCCCCCAATTAAATGCTTTCTTTCCTAAGAGCTGCCTTGGTCACAGTGCCTCTTCACAGCAATAACAGTGACTAAGACAGCCACGTGTTTCAGATGCTCACAGTTATAAGGTGGGATGCACACAATTACCAACCACCACTTTGGGCCCATTATGAACAGACCCAACCTGCTCGGAGCTGTTATAGCCTCACAAATGTCATTTGGGCATTTGTATACCTGAGAGTTTATGCTTGCAAAAATATGCTATGATTGCCTATTTTATTGTTAAAGTGGCCTTTGGAGTGGTCTGTTTTGTCATTGTTATGGGTATGCCTTGTGGTTAATGTTTGTTTTCTGTTTGAGATGTGGCTTCACTGTGTAACCCAGTTTGGCCTCAAACAGGTGATCCTCCCGTCTTAGCCTTTTGAGTTCTGAGATTATAGACTGCTTTAGGTAGGCTTTCTATCGCTGTGATGGCAATTCTTATAAAGAAAACATTTAATTGGGGTGCCTTACTTACATTTCAGAGGTTCAGTCCATTATCATCATAGTGGGACAGGGTGGTGTACAAGGTAGATGTGGTGTTGGGGAAGTACTGGAGACTCGTACATTTTGCAGGCAGTAGGAAGCAGTTGGAGAATAGACCTGGAAACAACTTGAACATAGGAGACCTCAAAGCCTGCTCCCATAGTAATACACTTCCTCAAATAAAGCCACACCTACTCCAACAAAGCCACACCTTCCTACAGTGCCACTCCCTTTGGGGGCATTTTCTTTCAAACCACCATGCATATCATCACGCCTGGTGCCACCACTCAAGATTCAGATTGTGTTTCTTGGAATTATGGTTCAAACTCCTAGAAAATGACATGTCTGGGAAACTAGTGGAAGTCAAGAAAAACTCCACAGGTCAGTTAACCGTATTTGGAAGCTTTCTCCTGACCTTGATTTTCTATTGTGGTTGTTGGGGAAGGTGAATGAAGCACATGCAAGGAGTCTAGGCTAGCTTTGCTATTTTTCTTTATGTCTGAAATTGTTTCAAGGGGCTGGAGAGTTGGGTCCTGGGTTAAGAGCACTTGATCTAGCAGAGGACCTGTGTTCGGCTCTCAGTACCACATAGTGGCTCAGAATTATCTGTTTCAAGGGGATCTGATACTTCCTTCTAGCCTCTGTAGGCACCAGGAACACATGAGGTGTACATATATACTTGCAAGCAAACCACATACACATCAAATAATATTAAAAACTTGTAGAAGTAATAAAATGAAAATTACTACAATAGGAAAAACACTCACATTTAAAGATGCCTAGCAACAAAGACTCTCATCTGGACTCAGAGTTCTTCTTTTGGGAGCCACCAACATTGTCATTTTTTCGTGACTTTTTAAAAAGATTTATCTTATTTTATTTGCATATGTGTGTATCTGTTTAGTTATGTTCACATGAGTGTAGGTTCACGTGGAGGCCAGAGGTATTAGATCTCCTGGCTGCAGTTATGGTTAGTTGTAAGCTAACCAATGTCCTTCTTTATGCCATGAATATGTTTCTCTTATTGGTTGATGAATAAACTGTTTGGCCTATGGCTCAGGCTTCTTAATGGATAGCTCACTCTTAATCATTAAGCCATTTCTATTAATCTCTGTATCCCCATGTGGTCTTGGCTTACCGGTGATGCCCAGACCTCTTGCTTCCTTGGCAGCTACATGGCATCTCCTTGACTCCACCTACTATCTTTCTCTATCCCTGCTTGGATTTCTTGCCTGGCTAAATCCTGCCTGTCCATTGGCCAAAACAGCTTCATTCATCAACTGATAAGAGAAATAATATATTCACAGCATATAGAAGGACATCCCCCATCAAACCGATGTGGGTGCTAAGAATGCAACTCAGGTCCTCTGATGAGCTGTATACCCTTCACCTCTGAGCCATCTCTCCACCCGTCTTTTTTAAAAAATCATTGTGCATGCATGTGTGTATGCCTGTGTGTGTGTGACACACACACACGCACAAGTGTCTCAGGGATGAAACCTGGGTGACCAACATGACAACAAGCACTCTCATCTGCTAAACCATCTTGCTGGCCCATCATGTTTCTCCACACTTGAAAATGAACTATAAATATGAATATGTTTAACACTGAAATTATTTTCAACTAACAATAAAACCCACTGATTTTAGCATACAAATCCACAAGCTTGATGAACACATGCAGTCATGCGAGTCATGCGGCTTTAATCATATTCAAGATATGCAAATCATGCATTACCCCAGGAAGCCCCCACTCATTTCTTTATTATTCCTGATTCTGCCAATTTGCTTTCTCTAGAGACAGAAAATACAGTTTGGCCTTTGAAAATGTCATATAAGTAATCACACAGTACATAGCTTTTATGACTGGTGGACTAGAGTGGGCTAGACTATCCATGGGTGCTAGGAGAGGGATATACAGTTTGTGTTTAGCATCTCTTCAGGGATCGGAACTCGATGATGAGTAAAGTCTCCACCAGGCACACAGCCAGAAGTCTCTCCATGACATCATTTTAGGGTTCAGGAAACTGAAAAACACAGGCTTCCCCTTCCTGGGTCTGAGTCATTACAGCCACTATAAAAAGAGGGAAAGCAGACCAAGTAGAAGCCTCTGGGAACTTTGGGTGACCCTAAGAACTGAGTAATCCTACTCAGACCTCTAGGGATCTCCACAGCTTGGAAAGCTGGTCACATCCTGCCTGGGGTCTCCAAAACCAATGTTAAGAGAAGAAAGGCTGATCACCAGAGAAGAGTGTGTGACATTCTGACAACTGTGGGAATGTAGAGGTGCACGGTGTAGGTCTATTTAAAGATCTCCTAACAAACCCCTGCTCAGTGGCCAGCTAGTCCCTATTCATTCACTCTCAGCCACTGGGAGCTCATTACCTCCAGAACCAGACCATCTTCTTGTGGAGAAGAGGTGAAAGGAGTGGATTTCCAGGTCTTTCTGTAGAAGAAAGTTGCCCACCTCCTACTTCTGGGCATGACAGCTTTCTCCAAGGGTGTGGCCAGAGGGCTGTGAGAACACTGGCCTTGACACTGACAAGCTATGTAATTGCAGACCAATCCCTTAACTGCTCTGAGCATGGCTCCTCATCCGTAAAATGAGGATAATAACAAAGCATGCTTGGTTGGATGATTATGGGGATTAATTAAGATAACATACAAATCATATGTAACATCATGCCTGACACAAAGAAGATGATTAACCCATTAGACTTGTTATTCCTAGGCCAGTCCCTGTCAGAGTTTCAGACATGGCCCTGGTTTCTGCTTCAGTCTTCAGCTGGGAACTAGAAGTGAAGGGTGAGGGCCTTCCTGCTGCCCACTGGTCATACTTACCAGTGATGAGGTTGTCTACAAGGGTAGTGGGCATGCAGAAAATGCCCACCAGCAGATCGCTGACAGCCAGGTTGAGGATGAACATGTTGGTAACAGTGCGCATGTGTCGGTTCTTGAGCACAATGAAACAGACCAGGGAATTGCCCACCATGCAGAGGAGGAAGATGAGCACATAGGCCACTATGAACATGGCTGCCACTGGAGAGGAGTGCTGATAGTAGGAGGAGAAGGTGAGGTTGGCAGCCAGAGTAGCCTCAGCATCACTCCCATTCTGACTCAAGGGCCAGCTGACATTGGGAGGCTGGACACGCTCGCCTAGGACCAAAGAAACACAAGTGTCATGACCTAAGCAAAGAAGGGACAGCTGATGTCAAAACTGAAAAGCTGACACTTGGATGGGGATGTAACTTAGAGTGCTGGCCTAACATTCATGAAGCTATGGGTTGATCCACAGTACCACACAAAGTGGGGGTAGTAGCACATGCCTTTTATCCAAGCACTTGGAAGGTAGAGGCCAGAGGATCAGAAGTTCAAGGTCACCCTTATCTACTTAGAGTCTGAGATCATCCTCAGCCAAATGAGACCTTCAAAGAAAAGAAAGGAAAAGTTCATGTTTCTTTGTGTTCCATGTGCCACACCCTAAGCCCATTCATTACTGTCCTCACTGTTCCAAGGACAACTGGACACATAGCTCAAGGTTCTTTTTTTTTTAATGTTTAGATTTATTTTATGAGTGTTTTGCCTGCACACATGTACATCCACCATGTGTATACCTGGTGCCCATGGAAGTCAGAAGGCATCAGATCTCCTAAACTGGAGTTAAGGATGGTTGTGAGTCATAGTGTGGGTACTAGGCACCATACTAGGGTCTCTGCAAGAGCAGCAAGGGCTCTTCATCATTGAGTCATCCTCCAGTCTCTGATTAAGGACTTTCAATGTATCCCCAACTTGCACTCACACTGCCCAAGACTCATTCTTCAACCATGTTGGTTATTCTCCATCAATCTCCTTCTATCTGCCTTCCCTTTTGGGCCTCTGTGTGTGTGGGGGGGGGATGAGGTAACAAGGTCTTACGTATCAGGCTAGCCTTGAACTCCCCATGTAGCCAAGGATAACCTTAAACATCTCATACTCCTGCCTCTACCTCCTGAGTGATGAGACTATGTGTGTCTCAATGCCCAGTTTATATGATAGAACTAAGAGCTTAGAGCATGTTAGGCAAATACACTCTCCCCAGATCCAAGAATCTAACTTCTAATGGATCCCATCCCATCACTCGGGTTAGGCTCAGCCAATGGGAGGCCCTGAAGGAGGTGGGAAGGCAAGAGAGGAGTCAGGATTTGTTTCCTGGCTTCCTTCCTGCTTGGCCCAAGGCTATCAGTAGACACCCCTCTTGTTCTGTAGGACCAATCTTTATTGTGCTTTCAATGTATCCTTGTGTCTACATATTTCAATTCCCCCAAAACATGTGTCAGTGGTATTTGGAAGTGAGGCTTTTGGGAGATGATTGGAATTATAAGGTTAGAAGGCAGGGCCCTTGTGATATCATTGATGATTCATAAGATGAAAAGAGTCCTGAGATATTGTGCTTGCTCTGTATTTATTTATTATTTTGTTTACAGTGTTCTGTCTGCAGGCCAGAATAGGGTGCCAGATCTTTACAGATGGTTTTGAGTCACCATGTTGTGGTTGCTGTGAATTGAATTCAGGACGCCTGGAAAAGCAGCCAGTGCTTAACTGCTGAGCCATCTCTTCAGCCCTTGTTCTATATTTCCCCGTGCATGTGCAGTGTGTGTGTGTGTGTGTGTGTGTGTGTGTGTGCACACACATCTCCTGGGCCCAGAGTTATATGTGAGCTGTTAGACACAGGTGTAGGGAACTGAACTCCTGTCTTCTGCAAAAGCAGCAAGTGCTCTTAACGGCTGGGGCCTCTCTCCAGTCCCATGTTTGCTATAGTTGGCCATGCAATGCCATTGCTATGTTAGGTGTCGGGTAAAGGCCCTGACCAGATGAGCCATGTTTTTGAACTTTTGAGCTTCCAAAATCATGAACTAAACTAACTTTTGTTTTGGGGGGGGTGAGTTGAGACAGGGTTTCTTTGTGTCGCTTTGGAGCTTATTCTAAAACTCCTTCTGTAGACCAGACTGGCCTCGAACTCACAGAGATCTGCCTGCCTCTGCCTTCCAAATGCTGGGATTAAAGGCATGTGTCACCACTCCTCAGCTGCTAAACTAACTTCTATTCTTTATAAATGACTCAATCTTGGATATTTTTTGTATAGCAATAGAAAAGTGGACTAAGACGCTTCTCTTCCATGCAATGGTAACAACCTGTTCTTTCTCTTTGCACCAACAGCGCTGTTGGCAGCAATAGCATTCTGGTTTTGCCAGCCCAGTAGTAAGTAGGCATGGACGTGCCCGCTCCACACATTTCTCATCAGGAACAGGCTGACTATATATTTCTTTAGTCCTGCTTTGGAGGGAGTAGCCCAGTGTCCAACCATAGCTCTTCTGGGAAGTCATTAGCTGTGGTGAGTCACGGTGTTGTCTCAAACATTCTCCTTGTATCTTCCTCTGGGACTGAGTGGGGCCCATTCTGGAGGATGAAGCATCTCTAAGGAATCTTTCTGTGGAGCCCAGAGCTCAGCCACTGGCTAGGAGGCACACTGGAGGGCTGGAGGCACCTGGGGGCTAGAAACACCTGGGAGCAGTGGGCTATTTAGCTGGCATCATCTGGGCTGCGGGGACCAATGAGGACTGTAGCAGGGTGTGGCAGGGGTGAGGGTCTGCTGATGGAGAAAGAACCAAGAGGGGTTGGCACTGCCCCACACTTAGACCTTTCAAGGGCTCTTATAGCACTCAAACACCTTTAATATAATATGAAAAATTCAGAAATATACATAAGAGACTCTTATGGGGTATACATATGAGAGTCTAAAGTTTAATGAACCATTAGAGATGGAATGGTGGAAACAACTACATGAATACCATCTACCTTCAGCAACCACTGACTCTCTTCAGTTATTCTTCAGCATTTCTTTCCACTGAAAAATAGACATCTAATGTTTTTAAATGGAGATCCAGGAGCTGGACAGGAGCTCAGTTGGTAGAATGCCTGACAGACATCCACAAAGTCCCGGGTCCCATCCCCAACACCAAGCCAGGCGTGATACATCCATAAATCTAGAATGCTAGACACAGGAGTTTAAGACCAACCTGGACTACATGAGACCTTTTCACAAAACAAACAAAACAAACCAGGCCATTGGGATGGCTCAATAGGTAAGGTGCCTGCTGTCGAGCCTGACGACCTGAGTTTGATCCCTGCAACCTACATGTTGGAAGGACAGACCCAGCTCCCACAAATTGTCCTCTGACCTCCATTAACATGCTGAAATGTGTATGTCCCCACACACATACACATCACACATACACATAGGAATGAAAGTCTAAATTCAAAAAAAAAAAATCTACCCTTCTGTCACACTTAGTTGATGTCACCTTGAAATCTGTGGGGTCACATGTTTCAGTGTTGTCTCTACACAACCCATCAACCCCTGCAACTCTTTTGTCCTGACGGTTATGTGGCTCATCTGTGGGTTTGTCTGCAGGCTGAATGGTGCAGACTGCTCTCTCGATGTATCACTTCTTACGCTCCACTCTCTGGGCTCTGGAATTCTTGTAATCTGCAGTTAAAGCTAACAGTGTGATCCATGGGTGCATCTGGGTAGCCTGGGGACCTCACTTGATCTCTTCTTTTAAAAGGGTCTCATATCATCCACAGTGACCATAAACTTACCATGTTGCTGAGACTGGCCTGGAACTTTGAAAACAAATTATTTGTTATTTTTATTTTCTACATATGAGTGTTTTGACTTCGTTTATGTCTGTGTTGCACATGCATAAAGTTCCCCCGATGCCAGAAGAGGGTGTCAAATCACCAGGAACTGGAGTTACAGATGGTTGTGAACTGCCACATGGGCACTGGGAATCTAAATGTACTCTCTCTGTCTCTTTGTCTCTGTTTGTCTCTCTGTCTTTCTGTCTCTCTCTCTCAACAGGGTTTCTCTGTGCATCCCTCACTGCCCTGGAACTCAATTTGTACACCAGAGTGGTCTCAAACTCACAGAAACCTGTCTACCTCTGCCTCCTGAGTGCTGGGATTAAAGTTGTGCACCAGTACTGCCAAGCTAGTAAATGCTCTTAACCACTGAGCCATCTATCTCTCTAGCTCTTAACCTTGAACTCTTGATCTTCTTGACCCCACATTCTGTACCTGTATCTATGCCTGAGTTCAGACTTCAACACACAGCAGGCTCTGATCCTTGCTGATGTCTTCATGGTCTTAAACAGCCCCTTTGCCCAGTAAGTCCTCTTGTGTTTTCCAATCCCGGGGCTTTTGTTCTCCTTCTTTCCCTCTCAATTCTCAATTCTGATGTCTTCCTGGAGAAACGGAACTTGATGACTCCATTTAAAGGAGGTTCCCCAACTGGGGTCTCGTTTATGTCCTTGAATCTGCCAAGGATTTTGATTAGGTTCACTGTCTTTTCTCCTAGATTGAACAGTGCTTCCTGTCTTATTCGGAAGTATCTCTGGTATCTTGTCAGTGCCTGGTCATAGTAAATGATTCAATAAACCAGTATTAATAGAGTGAACAAATAGGTAGGGGAATCCTAGCCGGCTTCCCATACTCCCTTTGCTCGGCCCTCAAATGAGCTCATCATCCAGTCTTTCCCTGTAAATTGTTTGGAGTGACCTTGCCCATCTCTAATGTCTAAACACCTGGGTATCCATCCCAAGACTTAACCTAGCTCACAGCACTGCGTCATCCCAGAAGAAGCCCTTCCTACTCCTATCATTTTCCCCTGACCCAGAGCCCTCCTATCTTCACCAGTCTGAGCCCCACACCAGTAGCCGGAAGCTCATTAACACTCTTCACTTAGCCTTTCTGGGACCTGCCAGCTGCCCTTATGATTACATCCTGTGAACTTTCCATCTACTGAACCCAATTACAGTCCCCAACTGGATGGGTTTCCCAGAAGCTTCAGGATATAATGATGGCTGCCTCTAGGGTACCCTGATGAGCTTGGGGGGGGTCACACCTGCATCAGGAAAAGCTGGGCTAGAGAGCTGGAGCACAATGTCTCTCAAAGTCACACAGAACTTCTCAGATGGTCTCAGGCCTTATCCCTGACCCAGAGAGCCAGAAACCTGGGACGGGGGCAAAGGGGGTGGGGATCATCAATCTATTTTGTTCATTTGTTTTTCATCCTGAGAAAAGATTCATTATTTATTTTGTGTGTAAGACTGTTTTGCCTGCGTGCATTTATGTATAACATGTATATG